TCTCTCGATGGCTTCATCACAGGGTTCAGCAGCCCACTGGGTTCTTGCGACCTCCTGCCTAATGAGAAAGCAGACATTGGAGATAATTGCCGCACAGCCCGAGCCGCAGCACGATTAGTAGATGCCTGGACTATTGCAAATGACTGTTCCATTAACAGATTTAGTTGAGGGTTGATCCCGTTAGGAGAGAGAGCCAAGGGCTAATGATGAGGATATTTGCAGAAGGGCACATGCCAAACAGCACAGTCGATTCCCAGAGCCTGGAGTCTGGTCTTCCAGTCTGGACTCTGCCTCTTACTGGTTGTGTGGACTCTGCACCACCTTTGTGATTTTAAGAGTATCATACAGCAAGTGGGCCTTGTTACAACTTGCAACAGTATGGGGAGATGGGCTGTGGTCAGGCACTTTGAAAAGTCAGGGAAGAGCAGAACAAATGGGAGGTATTGTTACCCTTTGCCATCAGTAGCGACAGGCATTCATCGCCTCTTCTGCAGCTACTACTCCTGGGAAGTTTAGCAAACAGCACAGCCTATCCTTCCGGTCTGACAGGCCAGCTCAGGCTTCCAGCTCCTGTGAGGTTCTGGAGCCAGTTTCTGAATGGTGGCTTAACCACAGCGAGCACAGAAAACCAAAGGTTTGGGTCTTGTTTTGTTTTTTTTTCTCCAAACCTCTGCTCCGGCTCTGCCAACTGCCTCTTCAGGCATGCGGGGCCCAGATGCAGCAGGAAACCCCAAGGAGTTGGTCAAAGCTACGGCTGCCAAGGCCTCTGGCCCTCCAACCCCGAGGCGCTGCGCCATGGGACTGCCACTTCCACAGTCTTCTGGCTGTGCCCTGAGCCAGTCCTTCTGCAGGAGCAGGGAAGGGAGAAGGCCTGGGGGCTCGCTTACAAAAAAGAAAGCCTGGCAACAATGCTGAGTGGGAAAAGCAGAGGCACCCGCAGCCCTTTCTCTGGGAACAGCCCTCTGGCTCCTGGGCCCCTGAGGGGAGGGACACTTGCAAAAGAAAGATGTCCCTATAACTGCAACCCTGTGCAACTTCTGCCTTTTCCCATATATCTCGAGTGTGCCCTTTGCTTTCAGTCTCCCAGTATTTATTATGTTTAATTTTGTTGGGACGTGGTTGTAAGTGAGACGGATGGAGCCGAATGTGGCTGGCAAACGCCTCTTAATTAAACAGATAAATAAACTCCCTTTGCACGCGGGTTTTTACTTTTGCTGCAGTCTCTGATGAGGCAGGGGGATGGTGTCACTAGGTGGGGGACCCCCCACTGAGTTGAAAGGTGGGTGCTGACTACAGCAGACTGCACTGGGCCTATCTTTGTCCCCTCTGTGTGCTCTGGACTCCTTGATAGAGAGAGGCAGGGAGGCCCAGAAGTGAGGAGCCCCCCCCCCAGAAGCCCCTCCTCACAGGCCTTCTGGGAAAGAAACTTTGAGCCTGTGTGAGTGGGCCCTCTGCTGGACGCCTTCAGTGTGGCCTCGGCAGTCACTGCTGGGCTGGACATCTCAGGTCATTTGCTTCCCGTGCCCATGCCTCTCTCTGCAGAGGCTCCTCTGCCCTTCTAGAATTGGAAGTCCACCTACCAGGATAAAAACACATACAGTCCCTGACTCCCACACTATGGGGCTGCCACCTTCAAGAACCAGAGACATTTTTATGTTTTAAAAAAAGCCCAAGAACTTCCCAACCTGACACACTCCTGAGATGTCTGCTCCAAGAAACTGGGAGCAGCCCAGAATCCAACCAAGGTTTTCCCCTGACTCTTAACTCTTTCCCTTCAATGCCAAATTGCGATGCTAATTTCCCCTGGGAAAATATCCCACTGGTGATGCAGGACTCAGGTGGGAATCACGTATCTAAAGGTTCCTTGTGCATCTCATTGCACAACCCTGCTCTGAGCCACGCCATCCTGGCCCACTCCCCTGGGGATGACGGATTTGCCCACTATGCCTCAATCCCCACTGCTCATGTCCAAGCCCGTGCCAGGAAGTTCAGGGTTGGGGCAGGAAGACCTGGATCTGCCGAGCACACGGGGAGCTCAGTCCACTTCTAGACGATGGCTTGACTTGGCGTCATGGAGCCCGGCTGCAACCCGAGACTGTGGGCTCACCCCTTGCTCTGGGACACTTCTGCCAAGCTTCACACTGTCCTCCTTGCATAGGGAGAGCCTGGGGATGATCAGACTGGGCATTCAGAAGTGAAGAGAGAGGCATGACAGTGAGGAGCTGGGACCCCACTGCTTGTCCCTCAGGGGTGGTAAGGCTTTCTCTTCTCACCTGGAGGTACCACGGGAATCCTTAGAAGCTCCCAAAGATTGGGGAGACAGCAGGCACTCAGTTTTCCATCATTCAGCCACAGAACCCATTGGCCTACCTTTTGCTAAAAAAAAAAAAAAAAAAAAAAAAAACCAGACTATCTTAAGAGACAAAATGCCACCAGACACTAACTGGCAAAGGCACTCCACCAAGGTAGACACCTAAGAGACAGTGTCCAGTGAAGAAATATGGGTCCAGAGATGGTGGGACAGGCATGTGCTATACACTGTAGGAAGATGCAGCTCATGCAGCCAGCCAGGCCCTGCTTGGGAAGGTGGTACAGGATGGGGGCAGGAGGGAGCCAGGAGAGCTCAGAGCCAAGCCACCCAAACCTTTTGAGGTGCCTCCCTTGCCTGATATTTATAGCGGTGCCCAGGAGCGTAGAAATAATTACAGCTCAGTTCGAGCCTCCCTAACAAGGCCCTTCTCAGATTCAGGGCGAATGGGATATTTTTTTTCCCTGGATCTTTTTTTAAGTAGTGAATATTCTCACTGGATTGACAGCTCTTCCCAGCTCGCAGACTCCCTTCAACCCAAGAAAAAGTGGGGGCAGCCTAGCCTAGCAAGTGGCTGGTGAATTGGCCTTCCTCACCCATTACTCGGGGCCATACACCATGGTCCACAAGGCCTCAGGAGTGCAGGAGAATGGTCAAGAATCTTGGGGGCATGGAGAATGTAACACAGCCCAGGCTAATGCAGAGGCCCACTATCCGGTACCGGGTGCAGATGAGAAGAGTGATTCTGGCCTGTGAGGTCTGCGTGGGCAGGCCCAAGAGACTCAGGGATAACCCCCCTTAGAATGGGGTCTGTGGAATTTGGTAACTGGCTTCTTTTGGAAGTGACATAACACTTCCAGAGCATGATATGACAAGCGGCAGGCACACCGCTCTTGTCCCAAGAAATAAGCCAGACACACTGTTCCAACTCTTTTTCTGAAGATTTCCTTCTAATTCTTTTTCAGTTCTCCCAGGGAGCCTGCATATGATGAGCTGGCTGGTGGAGGCATTTGTCTAGACAGGCTCCCCTGGCCTGATGCTCTCAGCATGTTAGGCTGCAGACTTGGTTTCCCTATTAGAGGTGTGCTCACTCCAGAAAAGAGAACTTAATCTCAGTAGCTCCTAACCCCGGACAGTGGCTGCATGATGATCTGTCTGGAGCACCGAGCTTAGGGTAAACACCACTGGGCTGCCCAAGTTCCCTCTACGGAAAAGGCAACTGGGCAGCGAGTGAAAGCCACTGTGAATCGGAGGACACACAGGTGTCTAACGGGACAGTACAACAGCAGGATGGGGAGAGGGGCAGGAAGTAGGCAGGAATATCGCGCTGATGTAGCTAAACCCACTCTGGGCACTGCACTGGCTGTGAGCCCTCCAAGGGCTCAGCTTACAGATGCCACTGTCTAGAACCTATCGCTCGTGGAAGGCAAGGCTGGTCCCCAAAAGCCCGTAACCCACTTTCTGTCTGTGCCACCCCAGCAGCATCCCACAGAATTGCAAGAAGAAGGGAGAAGAGTAGGAACCACCAGCCGCCTGTGCTTGCTTCTCAGGGGAAGGTCAATCCCAGGCTGTTCAGTTGTGAGTGTGGGGGACAGGGATCCCTGAGATCAGAGGCCATCTAAGTTGCACATGTCCACCTGCTCCCTTACAATGTCACTTCCCAGGTGGTGGCTGGAGGCAGGCCACACTCAGCCATGCATCTTCCTCTTCATGATCCCCACTCCATATGCAACACAGTAGGAGTGGCAACCAACCAACCTTCATTTGAGAGTGACAACAAACGTCACTGAGCTCACACAGTCCGCAGGAGGACCCCACTTAAACTACCCGGCCTGCCATCTTCCAAGCGCAGAGCTTGGGCAGGGCAGCCGAGTTCCATAGCAGTACTGCGTGCCTGGGTGTGCCCTTTCCCGGAGGTAGTATGTGTAAGCAGAGTGTGAGGCTGGGCAGGTGTCCCCTGGGGCTACCTTTCACAGTGGCAGGTGGGGGATAACTCACTCTCAGCCAAGCTCACCTGTGGCTTGTCTTGGTAAAACTGAGTGTGAGGGGCGCAGGCCCGGATGGATACATGTGGCTGGAAAGCTGCAGATGTATGCAGGCAGGCTGCGGTGGTGGTGTGAGGGGCAAATCAAGGCCTCTGCTTAACATTGCCTGAGGCTGGAAGGTGGGTGCTGTGTGCTCTGAGACTTGGAGTGTGAACACCAAATTCAGCACGTCTGACATGGCGCAGGGAGGGTAACCCGATGGCCACTGTTCCTTGTTGCCCACCCCCATACTAAGTATCCACAGGATCATGAGCCTGCGGCAGGCTGCTAAGGTGTCTCGTGGGGGCCTGGAGGCCAGCAGAGGGGCAAGAGAGATTCTCGGGGGCTCAGGCTGGGCTTCTGGTCACTGAGCATCTGGAAAAGCCTTCCCAGCACGGAAGCCTCTGCGTAGATGCCCTCATTACATCACCGACTTCCCCGCCGCGGAGCCGGCCTCCCTCAGGAGAGGCGCTTCTCCGAACGCAGGCAGAACGAGCGCCTTCCGGTCGGTGGGCCGCAGAGACTCTCCTCTCCGCCGCAGCCTAGACCAGCAGGGGCCAAGAAGGTCCTAGACCCTACCGCCGCCGGGAGCAGAGGCTGCGCGCAGGCGGAGGAGGGGAGCGCAGGGCCCGCGGGAGGGGGCTAGGCGGGCGGCCCGGCGGAGGCCGGCGGGCGAGGGGTTAAGTGCGGGACCGGCGGTGGTGCCGTCGGCCGGGTTCTCTCCCCCGAGCGCGGGGCTCCGTTTGATGTTGGAGTACGCCAGGGACTCCCCCTCCCACCGCTACACACGCGCGCACACGCGCACACTCACACACGCACACGCACCACTCTTTGCAGACAGGGCTCCGGTGGCTCCAAAGTGACTGGCTTCCCTCTCCCCACATCCATCCTCTCGCACATCGCATCCATCCTCTTTCCATCTTCTCGCGCGCTCTCTCCAGCCTCCCCGCCCGGACAGGGGCAGCCCCCGGCAGAGGCGCGCCGCTCCCCTTTCCATGCCTCCCTCTTAACGAGCGCCACGCGGGGGAGGGGAGGCCCGGAGGAGGAGAGACCGGGAGGGCGCCCGGGAGGCAGGGTGCGCGCACACACCGAGGGACGCAGCGAGCGCAGAGCCGCCTCGGCCGCCGGGCGCCCCCCTGCCGCCCCATGCTGTGCTCCATGGCGAACTCGGGCTGCCTCCTGCTGTCCAACTCCGGCAGCATGCTCCCGCACTCCGTGCCCTGCCCGCCCGCTTTCCTCTACCTCCAACAGGTAAGCACCCCCGGCCCGAGCGCCCCCCGGCCCCGCGCACGTGCGCCCCGCGCCGCCGCCCACGCCCCGCACTTGGCCGCCTCCGCGCCGCGGCTGGTGGCCCCGCGGCTCTCCTCACGTCATGGCGCCCGGGCTAGGGTTGAGGGAACTGCGCCCCTGAGTGGCAGAGGAGCATGGGGGCGCCTGGGGAGCGCGCGGTGACGGGTCGGGGGGCCGGCTGGAGTTTGGGGCGTCGCTCGCAACTTTTTCAAAGGCGCGGGAGGGGGCGGCGGGCGGAGTCTCGAGGGAAGCCCAAGGGGAGGACACAGGGGTTCTGGACACCCGGTTACTTTGGGGAACTTTGCGCCGAGACGCGGGGGACTCGGGGACCGGTCGCCAGGCTCCTTCCTCGGCCGCGACGCGCAAGCCCAGGGGCCGCGGGGAGGTGGCGGCTGGGGAGCCCGGCTGTGCTGCAGCGCGGACCGCGCGCCGGGCCTCTAGGGAGGCGGGCCACCTGCCTAGTGGGACAGAGAAGCTAGGCCCTGAAGCTAGGCTCGGGAGCGGGTTTGTACTGGACTTTTTCAGTCTACTGGGCTGCGCAGGAATCTCGGGCTGGCAGGCGTTGGGGGACAGCAAACCCAGCGGTTAGGAGCCCCTACATCCCCAGAATGCCCCCTAGGGAGGTGCGCGCAGAACCTCAGCTTCCGCCTGCCAGCTGGCCGGAGGCGCAGGGGGCGGGGTCCTGCGATCCCACCCAATGCGGAATCAGTGCGGGCCCCAGGCCTGCACTGGGGATGGAGAGGGGATTCCCTGGGCTCCCCCAGGCCCTCCAGGTTATACAGTTGGGGCGCCAGCTTGGCCACAGCTGTCCTGAGGCTGCGGTACCCTGGCCTCACTCACCCGGTCTGCCCACACCTCTGGCCGGCCCTTTCTCCCCATGCTCTGGGGCCTGCCCTGTGGTGGATTCACACTTGGCCCTCTGATATAACCACATGGGTGGGTAGCTTTGTGGGGGAAGCATGGGGTACCAAGAACTTCCGACTGGCTTCCTGTCTCTGCTCCTTGACTCAGCCCAGTTAGAGGGTTCCCATAAGACGCTCTTCAGAAGTGGGGTTATAGGAAAGAGAGAGGCAGAGGGACAGGGTGACCACACAAGAAGCTTTTGGGGGGTCAGAGTCAGTATTAGGATAGGAAAAAACCAGCAGCGGGCGCGCAACCGACAGGAAATGGAGAGTTGTGTTTCTTGGCCTCCACTGGAGATTTTATGGAGACTGAGGCTAGCCGTTGGGGGAGGGGGAAACTTGTATCTGTCATGCCCCTCCATGAACTCTCCAGGAGGTGGTTTAGGAGGAAACATGGGCATGACCAAGATGGGCCCCCAGAACCTGACCCAGGGCAGTAAGTCCTAGGCTGCTGGACACTTGGGCCACCCCTCTACTAGGGTCCCTTATCTGCGCACTAAGGATTGCCAAAGGGAGAGACAGAAGGCGGCCTCTTTCCAGGGCCCTAGGCCCTTGGTCTCACCTTCCTAGGACCACCTGTGACATGTGAGGCTTCCGGGATGTCATACAAGAGGCACTGGCAGCCGCAGACCCCCGGCCAGCTCCCCACATTGCCGTTCATCATTAGCCATTCCCAGTCACAGGCCTCAGTGAGGGTGGTCCTCACAGGGCAACTTTCTAACCCCTCTGAGTTCCCATAAACGCTGGGGTCACTTGGAGACTCTGTCACCGGGTCTCTGTTACAACCTGTGTGTCTATCTGTCAGATGCGACCACTTGGAAGTTCAAGGGTTGTCCCTCCCCCTCACGCCCAGCTGTCATGGGCAGTGGTAACCTGGGCACCCCCTAGCAGCAAGATGCCGGGATCAGAGGGTGAGTGAAGGGTTTGAAGTACAGTCCTGAAGGCTAGTCCATGGCTTACTGGTTGTGCTGTCTTGGACAAATGGCCTCACCTCTCTGAACCTGTGTCTTCTTCGGGCACATAGTTCTCCCACCTCAAGATACAAGAGGTGAGTTAGGATGAAGTATGGCCCAGAGCGTCTTGATGGGTCAAACCTATGCTTTAGGTGGGCATAAACCCACCAGCAAGGCTTGCAGCGTAGATCACCTGAGTCCTCTAGGGCTTGGTAAAGCACCCTGACTGGTCATTTGCAGCTTTCCATGGGGGCAGCAAGGGATCAAGAGGACTTCAGATGAGCTCTCCCTGCCACAGATGCTGTCAGTGTGAGCAGAGCCCCTCCTGGGACAGCCACTGCGTGCCCACTGCACCAGGCTCAGAAGCACCCCTATTTCCTTTGCCCATCCGCAGCTATTCTGCAGGGGCAGACAGCCCGGTGCGTCGGCATGGGTCTAGACCGTTCCTGACCGTTATGGGTGCACCATTTTATGGGAACACACACAGTTCTGGTGGTTCAGGACCATTATAAAACAAGCAGTGGCATTCAGCTTGGGACCCAGCTAGTCCCAGGCCACCTTCAGAGTGAGATGGTCTCTTAATCTCCTGAAGGGAGGGGTGTATGAGAAGGAACCTTGGGCTGCACCTGGCTGGACTTCTAGAGATGGGAGCAGGCCCCTCCCCCAGCCCTTTGTGGGGGCTGCGGGTCCGCTGCGCGCAAACGCTGGTGCCATATGCCAGCAGTGTGTTGAGTCTAAACAGCACATTTAACATCAGAAGCAGAAGACGTGAAATCAAGCAAGACAAGAGACGTAGTTGGAGGCGCATTAAGATGCAGCTTTTAAACAGGCCGGCTTTCGAAACCTATAGTCTTCCGACTTGGAAATTTAGGAAATAAAACCTCGACCGATGGAATCCCATTCTTTTACAGCAGCAGCATTAACCCTTACCTTCTGTGAGCTGCTAGACCCTAGGTAGGGGGCGGATGATGAGGCCATGTCCCCTCAGAGACACACGATTCTGCAATTCGTCACAAGGTTCTGTTATCGTATGTCAGTCTCTCCCCTCTGCAGTGGTGATGGCACTTTTTAGAATTCTAACCAAAATGACTTGGGCTCACCCGACACGAGGGTGGGTCCATCCGGGTTGGGCTCTGGTTGGTAAGTGGTCCCAGGCTTCCACCCTTGTCTTTCCTGTCTGCCCCAGGAGCCCCGTAAGGGATTCCTACAGGAGTCTGTCATGCTTGAGGTCCTGGCACACTTCGGAGCTGCCTCATAAGGTCCCTCTGGGGGTCTGTTCCCCCTTAGGGACCCTGAGTCTCTGGTCCCTGGTGTATTGTCCCTAGCAGGTGATCGGGCTGATCATGGTGACCTTTGAGGGCAAGGGGGATCTCATGGAAAAACTCCAAAACATCAGCTGGACTCCCATGGGTCTCACAGCCTTTGCAGAAGCGGCTTTCAGAGATGAGGTTCGAAAAAGTCCCAGCTCACAAAATGGGAGCTTGTCAGTCACTGCCTTATTGTTAAACTGCAATGTCCTATAAAAGGGGATCTTAACAAGCCACCCGATTACCAAGACGGTAAATTGTTCATGGGGAGAAAGATGCATTTGTCAGGTAGGGGGAAAGAGCAGAAGGGTTGGGGGTATGCAGGGAAGGGGCTAGGGGAGCCTGGGAGATCCGTGGAGAGGTGAGGGTCCAGCGCCCTGAAGGATGTGTCCTGAGTTCTGTTGATGTAACTGTATGCATGTACTTCGCCAAGGTAAAACCCCCAGAGAGCTTCCACTGCCATGGAAAATGCTGCCAGCCCCAGAAGCTTCCTTCCAGCCTGGGGTCTGCAGTCAGCTTCCTGGAGTTGTTGATAACAGTGTGTTCCCCCAGGAGCGGAGCCCAAAGTTGCACAGAGGGACTTGGGGATCCTAGGGCCTGTTTTGAGATTCATTAGGCAGCTGTGTTCTTATAACCATCCTCTCTTTGCTCTGAGGTAAGAACACTGCTAATCACAGCAATTTTTAATAAGGATTAATTACTGTAGCAAACATAACGCCGCTTCTTACCTCTTCCGCACATTCCCGGTGTTCAGTCTCTGTTCCCTGGCTGTTAGCATGTCACCCACAGACCTGGTGTGACTCAGGAAACCCCACCAGATACACACCTGCTCACAGTGATACAACATGGGTCTCTGGTGAGGACCCCACAGCTGATTAGAAAGAAGGCACAGGGCAGACACCTGTCTGCCATGTCTTCAAGGGGACATTGCCATTTGGATCTGGCGTGTGGATGGGGCCACAGCCCCCCAAATTATCCTAAAGATATTAACCAGACTAAAGATTAAACCAGATAAAGATAAACCAAGGATATTATATCAAATTAAAAATAAACCAGACTAAAATTAACCTAAAGATACCAACCTAAAGAAGTTACCTAGACTCTGTGTCCTCACACCCTGGGATCCATAGGGACAAAGCACTATGTCTTAGCTGCCTGGCCTTGACACGTCCGTTCAAAATCACAACACGGCTTTACCCCAGTGCCGCTGGTAACTGCAGTGACTGCGTCAGGTCTGCGGGTCCCTCTTCAGTTTTCATGCCTTATAGGCTCACGCTTGTTCCAGAACCTGCTGCAGGCAAACCCTATGCATACGTTATGGAAACATTTAACAATTTGGGGAAACTGAGGCAAGAAGCAGGTAGCTCACACACTGAACTGTAAAGCTGCTGAACAGCAGAGCCTGGATTCTGGCCCGGCACCCGGACTCCAGAGCCACAGCTGAGTCCGTCTCACTTTCTGATGAACACTGGAATTCGGGACGTTTCCTCCCTTCCCAGCTGCTTTCTCAGCTGTGCACAGAACAGAAGACACATCAGCCAGAGCTTCTGGTGGCATGAACTCTTTCTGGAATCTTGTGGGTCTCTAAGCTGGATCTGCCCCCAACTGGATGCCCAAAGTTGCTAAAAGCTAGGGGAAATTGAAGTAGCCTGCCTTAGGATTTTAAGATCTTGAGTGTGACTCTTCATTTTGTGGAGTGATGGAGTTCTCCGAGTATGAAGCAGGGGGTTCTGGCTGGCTGGACTAGGATAAATATGGATAGTGGACATAGGACCTGCCACAGCTGGGGGTGATAGCCA